CCCTGTAATCCCAATTACTCAGGAGGCTAAGGTGGGAGGATTACTTGAGCCTCGGAGGCGGAGGTTGCAGTGAGCCGTGATTGTGCCACTGCACTCCAGCCTGGGTGACCTGGGTGACAAAGTGAGACCCAGTCTCTAAAAAAAAAAAAAAAAAAAAAGATAAGAAAATGATCTCCTATATTTTTTGTGGTGTTTTAGTTGTTTTGGCTGGGAGGGAAAGGGGAATCAATCTGTTATTCTGCCTTGATGTAAATGGAAGGCCCTCGATGCTCTTTTGCTTTCAGCAATAGTGCTGATAAACTGGGAGGCTAGCTGTGCTGCAGGAAACTGAGGTGGCTGGAAGAAGAGTCACTTTATATGACAGGGTGTCCATCTCTGTGCCCATAGTTGTCCTCCCCAGTTGCACATCTTCCTGCACATCTATCTGCATGTCTATCTGGAAATCCACCTGCATGTCTGTCTGCACATCTGTCTGCATGTCTGAAAATATTCTGCTGCAGTCTGGGAAGCTGTCTGTGGCTGGGACAGAGTCCGGCCTTTTTCCTGCTCAGGGAAACTCCATGCCACCCACATGATCATCCTGCTAAATTTCTTGATGTCCACACTCGAGTCCATCAGGCGTGGGCTGGCTGTGGACAGGCTGCCGATGAGCCAAGTAATTGCCTTTTGTAGTTCTAGTTAGGAAGACAGTGTAGGGTCTTCCTAACCAGAAGGGCTTTTCTGTTTTGAGTCTGCTGGTCCTGATCTGGGTTTTTTCCTCCCCCTCCCCTTCCACAGTAATCCCACAGGCTCTGGAGACCCGCCTGTGGCTCCTGACTGGAGTGTGGGTCTTTCTTGGACTGGGAAGGGTCTGGTTGCTGCTATAAGCCCAGCCCAGGTCTTGGAGGAATTCTACATAATGGTTTTTTCCATGGGCCTCCAAGAGAGCTATTATACACCCGGAAGATCCAGCCTTTACCAGAGCTCTCTCCTTTTTCTCTCTTGCTCTCCTTCCCTATGCCAGGGAGTAGGCAAAGGTTGACATTTCCCGCCTCCATAGTGCCCAGCTCATTCTGAGGTCTTTTTTTTTAAAGAGTGGATTGGCACATAGAAGATGTGTCTATAACTGGTAGCACATTTCCTATGGTGCTTGGCATATGTCTTGGTCTTTTCGGGCTGTTATAACAAAATACCATAGACTGGGTGGCTTATAAACAACAGAAATTTATTTCTTACCGTTCTGGAGTCTGGGAAACCTAAGATCAAGGTGCTGGCAGATTTGGTGTCTGATGAGGTTCTGATTCCTTGTGGATGGCTGTCTTCTCACTATAACTCACATGGCAGAAGGCACAAGAGAGCTCTCCGATGTCTCCTTGATAAGTGCACTAAACCTATGCACGAGGGTTCTACCATTAGGACCTGTTCATCTCAGAAAGTCCCCACTTTCTAACACAATCATCTTGGGGGTTAGAATGAATTTTGTGGGGACTAAACATTTAGTCTATTGTAGGAAAGAAGAAAGGTATATTTATTTATTTTTTTACCAGATTAAATTTGATTCGAGGCCTCCTTTGTCAAGATGGATAATCATTCCAAGAATTCTAGAACTTGTACTATCCAAAAAAAAAAAAAAAAAAAAAAAAAAAAAAGAAATAAAAGGGGGATTAATTCAATTAAGTATATACATCCCCAATGGCCCATCAGTTCACCTACTTGGGATATCTGTATTCCAGGGGAATTTTCACATGAGTCCGTAACGGGACACATACAGAGATGTTCACTGTGGTGTTGAATGTGGTGGTCTGGAGTTGGAAGCAATCTGGCTGCTGTCCTGTGTGAGGGAGGATGAGAATCAGTCATGGAGAAACCTGCAAGGCAATATTCCTCAGCCCATGTGTCTCCTTTTCTGACAGATGGCCCTTGTTTGAACCCTTCATGGGGTAAGCAACTCAGAGTGGTGTGTTTTGCTGCTGGGAAGCTCAGATTGGGCCAGAATTACATCTCCCTGGAGATGATTGTGGTGGGCTTGGTATCTTGGAGGGGTGTGTGTGTGTGTGCGCATTTATGGGAAACACTGTGTTTTCATTCATCCATTTATTCATTCATAAAACATACGGTTAGGGGGCAACAGCCCCATGCTAGGTTCTGGAGATACAATGACCTCTGCCTTCATGGTGCTTACAATCTAATGGAGGAAACAGATACAGCTGATGATTTTGGCACTATGAGAAATAAGCATTTGTATGACAGGAGAGAGGGAGGACCCAGCTTAAGGTTGATGAGCCATATAGGAAGACTCCTCTGAAAAAAGGAATATCTAAACCAGGCCTGAGAGCTGAGTAGAAATTGGAAGGGGAATAAATGGGGGTAGAGTGTTCCAGGTGGAGGTGATGTGTGCATGAGGGTGGTGTGGTGAGCGAGAGTGTGGCTGCTTCAGGGAACTGCTCTGCCTGGCTGGAGCAAGGCAGGTAAGTGGAGCCAGCTGGAGGAGAGGAGGCTGGGGATACACAAAGCCTGCTGTGTGATAAGGTGACCATGTAATTTATCATCCAGACTAGAATGCATTGAAACTGAAAGGTCACTCTCCTAATAATATTGTTGGGATGACGGTCACTCTACTTGTAGGTCAAGTTAAAGAGTTTGAGTTTTAGTCTCAGGAATATGGGAAGCCACTGGGGCCTCAAGGAAAGAGAGATGTGGCCTAGTTTGTACCCGGAGGGGCTTGAGATGGGGCTATAGGACTCAGAAACCTCCTACCATCCTTTCCATCTGCATGGAGGAGACACCTGAAGATTTGGAAAGTGTCAGAAGTCTTGGAGTAAATGAGCGAGGCAGCCAGGAGCCCAGAAATGGCCTTTGTAGTCCTGTGGGACAGGTGATGAGCACATTACAGTCGAGTGTGCCACCTGGTTCCTGCCTGGTTCCTGACAGATGCTCCTCCTAGCAAGTGAATCTGCCCCCAGCTGAATAGGAAGGAGACAGTGATAAGAACTTTCCCATGAGTACCACAACTGGGGGATGCCCTGTCATGCCCCAGTTGCAGATGGAGGTGGGAAGGGAACAACCCCCTTCCCAATGATTTTACAAAGCAGGAGTGTGAGACGTATGGATAAGATGTCCAGGCTCTCATTTTGATACCCAGGCACACTGGCTTCCAGAGTTAACCACTCAGGACATTGTCTGTCCCAAGCAGAGGCCACAGCTTGCTCTGGAGCTTACACATGGGGGAGTGATCATGGGGTCACCCCTGTCTATTCACACATAGATCCACAGACCCAGGTCCAGAGGACAAAGCACAAATTCTCTCCCTCCCCGTTAGGGGTGTTGGAATAGACAGACCCCAGAAATAATGGTCGCTTAGAAGGGAATCAAATTTCCAAAACTCCTCAAAGCTGTCTGTGCACATACCCAGAATATCAGAGTCATTCTCCAGTTGGGACTCAGGTCTCTTCCATCAGACCAAGAGGTGGCTAAGGATAAGAGCTGGGTGTGGCAGACACTGTCCATTGCATATCCAATAGCCATCCTGCTCCTTCCCTGTTAACAATGTAACTTGTGTAATTACCAACTGGAGATTCTTTGATCTTAGGGAGGCAAGGATCAAGGGCCCTCCCCCAGTCCCATGAGATGAATCATGATTGGTCTAAACAAATCATGACAACTCATTCCCTTGGCCAATGACTGGTGTGGGTGGGGAGAAGGTGAGAGATATGGGATCTGGCCAATCACAGGCAAGGGTCCTCTTCCCAAATAAAAAGACAAAGCCTTGGCTGGGGGAATTCCTTTTATTCCTTTTCTCTAAAACCTCTTTCCTTCCTGGACTGAAGATATGATGCTTGGTGTTGCAGAGGTCACTTTACAACCAAAATGCAAGAAGTTAGAATGCAAGGATGGTGGAGCAGGAAGATGGAAAGAGTCTGGGTTCTTGAAGTCATCATTGTGCTGCACCAGCCCTGGACGGCCCTGCCCCTGGGTTTCTTGTTATGTGGAAAAAGTAATCTGCACCATGTAAGCTGCTGTAGCTAGGCATTCTGTGATGTGCAGCTGGAGGCTGCCTCTGAGTCCCACCCTGATGGAGCAGCCAAGGCTTCCATTTTGGGGGATTCCTGCTTCCATCCTTGAAGGAGGAATTGAATCGCACAAAGACGTAAGGGTCTCTTAAGATCTCAAGACCATGAATCCCAGCTTGGCCTCTTCCCTAACAGGATGACCTTGGGTCAATTAGTTGTGTTGGGTCTTGGTGTCCTCGTCTGCAAAATGGATGCAGTAACAGTACTTGCCTCATAGGGTTGTGGGAAGGAAGTGAGCTAATCAATGGAAATCACTGGATGTAAAGTAGGTGTTCAATAAAATCAGCTCCCATCCCTCTCTGGGAGTTACACAGAACTGCTCCTCCAACCTGTCAGGTTGCCTATATGTTCAATGTGCATGTCACCCTTCTTGCCAGGAGAAGATTTGCATTATGGAACCTTGAGTTTTAAATTAAGTGTCAAATATAATTTGGCAATTCTAAGAATTAATTATGTGACTGCCCTCAGAAAAGCCAGGAAACTCAGCTCCAAGTGTGAAATTGGTGTCTGCCCCTAGGGAGGAAAGCTCTTTCACTTACCAGGGAATTGGATGGAAGAGGACAAGGATGGTGCTTTGCACATTAGTGCGTTTCCCACCCGGGACCTTCAGAAGCAGGGCTCCTTGAGGAGTGATGAAGAGGGCAGGTGTGAGGGATAGAGAAGAAAATGTTACCAGGAGGTGTCCCCCTATCATGGGCGGCTCTGTCCTGCCTGGCCCCGCCCTCCAAGGCCTGCGCACATTTGTCAGCAGCAGACACACGTGTGGCTGGTGTCAGTCCTCCTCCTAGGAGAGAAGAGAAGCATTTCCTGCAAGGGTGGTGGGGGAAGAGAGAGACATGCAGGCCAGAAGGGAGGCCACATTTGTCTCGATGACAAACCAAGGACAAAAGCTCAGCCTGGAGCATTCCAGGAGGGGCCCGCCTTTTCCTGAAGGTGGAGAGAACCGCTTCTCCAGTGTGTTTCGAGGGGGGAGACAGCATGCAGGGAGGGAGCAGGTGGACGTGGGCATCAGGAACCCAACCCAAGCCAACCGCCCCCACTCCTACCCCAGCCTCCTGCCGCCCTCTCCAAGGAGTCTGGGTTTAATTTTCTGGTCAGTGTGAAAAGGAGGAGGAAGAGGATGAGGAGGAGAAGAAAGGAGGGAGTTAAAGTTCTAATGCAGTCGGCTGGGATCTGTCACTCAGCGTACAGCTCGCTGACGACTCAGGGCAGCTTCAGCTGTAAGCAGCCCGTGATTTATGGACACCGAGTGAACTCCTGCGGCAGAAACCAGCCTTGAGATCAGAGCAGCAATAGGGCCCTTTTTTGGCAGGAGACAGGGCCTGCATTTTTCTCATTCATGCCAAACTGCTTTGCACGGCAATTAGCTCTGTCCTCATTTAGTCTCCAGTCCCAAAGGGTAATGAAAGTCATATATCATCTTCAGGACTGCTAATTATTGAGCTCGCTTACAGGTAGGCTTTGTAACTGTGAGAAGGGCCTGTCGGTCCAATATTTATTACTCTTCCAATAAGTAAGCAAAGAAGGAGGGGGTGGGTAAGGGAGTAGAGAGGGGAGGGAGGGAGAAGAAGGGAGGGAAGGAAAGAAGCGGGGGTGGGTGTGGGGGGAGGAAAAACAACTTTCTTGAAAGACCGCCCAACCCTAGCCCTGGGATCTCTGACATACCTTCTGCAAATATGCTCATCAGAGGGGAAACATCTTTATTCCACGGAGCCATTTTTCATGCCATAACAAACCAGCCTTCGAGTGCAGACAGTGGGGAGGGGAGGCCCAGCAGAGGGAGCAGCGGGCGGGAACAGGAGAGTGGGGATGAGGGTTGCTCTGGAGGGTGGGGAAGGGTACTGGGTTGGGAGAAGGGGACTGCGGGGGGGGAGCGATGGGGAAGAGTGGACAGGAAGGGAGCAGAGCAGAAATAGAAGAAAAAAATTCTCTCAACCCCTACCCAGGTCCAGAACATTCCATCATCATTTCTGGACCTGATGCGGGGAACGGTGGGGTGGGTCAGGGCTTGGGCTGGGATTAGCTATGTCTGTTGCTTCCAGGTGTGGAGTGTATAAGGCTAATACCAGAAACGGTTTCGTCTGGGCCCTTTGCCTTCAAGTTGATGGTCTCACCACCGAGTGGACGTAGTGTCTGGATTATAGTCTGCACCAGCGATTTCCATGAGTGTGGTTAACTAAGGGGAAGGTCAGTATTTGTTTATACTCAAATGGACTCTAAAAATACAATTACTATTAGCTGGGGTTACTGATAGTTATTTTAAACAGAGAATGCAATTAAAACAAGAGCTAAAGAAATACAAGTATTTAAGCACCATTAGATGCCATACTCCTAATATTCAACATGGAACCAATATTTGAGTACCTACCTAACACATAAATCAGGCACTGTTCTAGGTATGGAGTTACTACACTGACCAAGATGGTTGAGGTTCTTGCCCTCATGGAGCTTCTAGTCCAATGATCCATTACTACTTATTGATCATGGTTTGTTTTCCACCTCCACTTAAATGATAATAACAGCCAAAAACCCTGACTTGAGTTATCAGCATAACTAACATCTGTGTTTATTATTTGTTATTATTAGTGCTTATTATGTGCCAGGCACTGTGCTGCAAGCTTTGTGCTCACATTTCTCATTGAATTCTCACAATCACTACAGAGTTGGTGCTGGTACCATCTCCGTTTTACAGACAGGTTAAGTTGCATGTCCAAAGTCTCACAGGTAGTTAGAAATTGAACCCATACCATCTGGCTCCAGAGTCTATGCTTTAAACCCTGACACCAGATTTTCCTGAATTCATTCTGAATCATTTACATTTCTAGTTAATGACATTGGTGCCTTGGTCTGCTTGGCAGCAGATGCCCTCCTGGACAGATTTTTTCTCTTCTGCTCTCAGCATCCCTCCCAGTCTGGGCCTCCATGGATTGTGAACTCATTGACTTCAAACTAAATTGGAGAGAGACTGTTAGGTTGACTTGTAAGCCCTTGCAGTGAACACCTGCTAATCTGGAATCCTTCCTCAACTGTGGGAAAAACGGTGACATGGATGAGTCTTCCCGATTCCTTCAGGGACATCATGTTGGAAGCCAGACACTGACATGATAGGAATATTTACACTATGGAAAATGGCAAATGCTACAAGTCAGGTCTTTGTGTTTGTTTATTTTCCTGAAGAGCTGGTCATTAAGCATTGACCAGCACACCGCTGGAGAGGACCCAAGAGGTCCTTGGGAAGAGGAAAACGTTAGGCTGTAGCTGATGGCAACCTCCTGACAGTCTGTGTCCATTGAGGAGAGAGCAGGGAGCATCAGAGAAGGAGACAAGAGAATTGTGTTCTAGACCTGGCTTTGCGGCTGAGGGAGCGGGTCTCAAGCTGTTTGTCCTCATTTGCATCGGGTGGCCTCAGTCATAGGAATAGGTAAAAAACTATTTTCAGAAATAGCCTGGATGACCGGGCACGTTGGCTCACACCTGTAATTCCACACTTTGGGAGGCCGAGGCAGGTGGATCACTTGAGGTCAGGAGTTCAAGACCAGCCCGGCCAACATGGTGGAACCCTGTCTCTACTAAAAATGCAAAAATTAGCTGGGCATGGTGGCGTGCGCCTGTAGTCCCAACTACTTGGGAGGCTGAGGCAGGAGAATTGCGTGAACCCGGGAGGTGGAGGTTGCAGTGAGCAGAGATTGTGCGCCACTGCACTCCAGCCTGGGAGACAGAGTGAGACTCCGTCTCAGGGGAAAAAAAAAAAAAAAAATAGAAAGAGCCTGGAGCTAAGAAATAAAGCTTACTTGAATTTAATTATGTTTTTACTCAAATATAAGGCAGTTCCACTACATGATTAAATACTGGGCTAGGGCTATGGGTCTGTGTGTGGAGCCCATGTTTCTCTATGAGCCCCACTGTCTTGGGTCATGTTCCCTTGGCTTCCTCCTGCTTTCTTCTCCACCCTTGGAGCAAGATAGAACGGAGCCAGAAAACTGCCCCTTCTCTTCTCTGTGACCTTAGACAAGTTGCTTAGCTTCTCTGTGTCTCCGTTTTCTCTTCTGTGAGATGAGGATAATGGATTGTGCCTGCTCGTAGGGGTGCTGTGAAGCCTGACGGAGATGCACATCAGATGCTGGGAAGAGACTTGGTGTATGAGAAGTTCCCAATATATGGTCAGTGTTGCTGCCATTTGTTCCCCGTATTGTCTCTTCTCTTGGGGGAAAGGTGTCCCACACCAACCTCCTGGCTTCCAGGGCTGTACAGGGGGCCAGGGCTGAGACAGAGGGGCTGCATCGCCTCTCCAGAAGGAGCTGGCCACCTCCACTGAAGCTGCACATCCTTATAGTTGTGTGTGAACTGTATCTTTCTAATTTACTTACGACACTCCTAGCAGCTATTGCAAACCTTTTTGTGTTCCTTAAGCTCCCACCACTGGGAGTGAGGTGTGATCCTGGTGTCTCATATACCCTGATGTGGAGGGTCCCGCTGAAGGGGCATGACCCTGGAATCTGCAGGTGGGTCAGCTGGGAAGGATGCCAGACAGGTATGAAGGACTCTGCAGCCCCCACTTGCTTTAAGCCAGTCTGTCTCTGCCTCTGTGGGGTCAGAAGTGCCCTCTGCATGGTCAGCTTCTGATCCTAGCAGGAGGGGGTCCTGGTCCTCTCCCTGTGCTTTTGGTGGTGTCTGCCACAAGTCTGCTACCTCCCATGCTGCAGCTCCCTGGCCCCAGCTCAGGAAGATTGCAGTGCTCTTCTGTCACGTCTCTCCCCACTCCAGGCATCTCCCCTACAATCTCTGAACACAAGCACACTATGTTCTTCTCTCCCATCTTCCAGCTGCCGCTGTCCCCTGGTCCTAGGGGACATATCCATCTACCAGCCTGGATGCATGCCTGCTCTTCATCCTTTCCTGACCCACTTTCTGGCTTTCTCTCCAGCCTACCCTGGAGCCCACCCTCTACTCTCTCCTTCTGGGATTTCTTTCCATTTCATTCCTCAGTCTCCCATTCCTGTTACCTACCCTCCCATACCCACTTACCAGGGTCTGGCCTTTGTGATACTTTCTGGACCCACGACTTAAGGCTTCCTGAGAGTAGGTTGAACAGAGTGAGCCTTGAGCAGGGCAGGAGTGAGTGAACCAGGGCCTCCGACAAGATCAGGGTCCAGGTCTTCCTCCTCATTCTGCTGCTCCGTGTTGATTTCATTCCCTCTGCCCAGATTTTCCTCACATCAGGGCATGGCTGCCAAAGCTATGACCTCATATCCATGCCCCTGGAGGATGAAGGATATCTATCCCTGAGTCTAGTTACAAGTTCCTGAGGAAGGACTCCAATTGTCCAAGTCGCGGACATGTGCTTAACCCTGGATCATTCACTGTCCAGGATAGGGTACTGGGGTCAGTCTACCAGGGCCCCCTGCCCACTCTTGTGCATAGTTAGATATGGTGGTGTCCAGAGGAAAGGAGATGCAAGGCTGAGCGAGGAAAACATCACTGCCCTGCAGGTGGAGATGGACGACCCTTGAGATGGATGACCCTGACATTCCAGCACTAGCCATACCTGTGAGCCAAGCCACATGGGGCACTGAGTTCAAACACAGATGATCCTGCTCTGTCGGGATTTATCTCAAGAGAGCCACAGTTACATTGGCACCAAGATCATAATCTTTTTATTTATTTAATGAACCAGAAGTGTTAATTGCAGAAATTTGGGCAAAGTTCTGATGGGGTGGCCCCAGCCGAGGTTTGACTGAGGTGCACTGCCTAGTTCTGGGCAGATGAGACAAGAGTAGAGGGAGTGTGCCTGGGCCTGGGGCCTCAGAGCTGCAAGATGATGTCAGGAGCTGGGCAGCAGGTGAAGTCTGTGCAGTTGGGCTGCATGTTCAAGGCCTTTACCATGCTGTCCTCCATCACCATGGAGAACTCTTGAGCCATCAATTCCCAAACAGTAGCAGCAGCAAGTCATCTAGTAACAAATCAGACTGCTTCCCAAAGGCTCCAGTGGGGTTAGCTGGGAGCTGAACCTTGCCTTTTGTGTTGGGGCTCCCTGCCACTCACCAGTCACAGATACAGTGGACACTCAGATATGCCACCACCTGGACTCACTTGGCCTGCAGAGCCCCAGCTTGCTCCACAAATCCCAGCAGGTGGGCTGTGGAAAAACTCAGGGTAAGGGGGCGACTCAGAACCTGTGATGATGCAGGGCACTTGCCCACAGGAAACTGGGCTCAGGATAAAGAAGGAAATTCACTGACACTTTGAATTCATAGGTGGGGGTCTTAATGGCAGTCATAGAACAAAAAGTATTTTTCCCTAAACTTTGCTGCGTGTGTAATTTCCCCTTCATCCAGGCATCCATGTTTTTTTCTGTGATCTGCCTGCACTAGGTACAGTAGGGACTAGGCGCTTGGTTGAGGGGGGCTGATCTGACTTTGTCTGCAGTGGCCCACTTCCATGGACCTCTCTGAACTGGCCCAGCTCTCTTGTGAGTTACTATGGGGAAGGCTGGAGGTGTAGACACACTGCCCCAGGGCTATGGAAAGAGGGTCTGGGTGTAGAGCCCTGGAGGGTGAATTTTTCCATGAGTACAACTCCTGCACTTGTAATACTTCTTGCTACTTAGGGGGCCAGAGCAGATTTCTGAGGTGAGAAGGAGTGGGAGCAAAGACTGTTTATGTTAGGGGCAAGGCCTAGTTGTGAATCGTAATAAAATCTGGTGGGACAGAGGGCCATGCTGGGGGAAAGGAAGGGCCAGGGCACAATAGAGGGTGATAACTGAGTCATGGACTAGTCCTGGCCCTAGACTTGCCTCCAGCCCACAGGCCTCTGAGCATGTCCTGACCATCTTGCCCCTATTGTTCGGTTACTAATGCTACGTAATTAACCACTCAAAATGATTTTATTATGTCAGTTTCTGTGGTCAGGAATTTGGATACGGCACACTGAGAATGGTTTGTCTCTGAGACTTCATCAGGGCCAACTCGAAGACTGGGGGCTGGAATCTTTTGGAAACGTCTTCATTCATGTTTTCAATTGTTTTTATTGTGGTAAAGTACACATAACATTTACTATCCATGGTAACAATTTTTTTTTTTTTTTTTTTTTTTTAGATGGCATCTCACTCTGTTGCCCAGGCTGGAGTGCAGCGGTGTGATCTCAGCTCACTGCAACCTCCGCCTCCTGAGTTCAAGCAATTCTCCTGCCTCAGCCTCCTGAGTTAGCTGGGACTGCAGCTAACTTTTGGATTTTTAGTAGAGACAGGGTTCCGCCATGTTGGCCAGCCTATGCTCAAACTCCCAACCTCAGGTGATCCGCCCGCCTTGGACTCCCAAAGTGCTGGGAATACAGGTGTGAGCCACTGCACACGGCCTGTAACCATTTTTAAGTGTACAGTTCAGTGTTATTAAACACATTCATAGTGCTATGCAGTCATCACCACCATCTATCTTGAGACCTCTTCACCTTGTAAAACAGAAACTCTGTACCCACTAAACAATAATTCCCCATTCTCTCTTCCCTCTGCCCTCGACAGCCACCATTCTACTTTTTGTCTCTATGAATTTGACTACTTTAGTAGTCCACTTCCACCTGGAAGTGGAACCATGCAGTATTTGTGGTTTTGTGACTGGCTTATTTCATTTAGCAGAGTATTCTCAAGGTTCACTCATGATGTATCATGTTGCAGAATTCCCTTCCTTTCAAAGGCTGAATAATATGCCACTGTGTGCATATACCCCATTTTGTTTATCCATTCATCTATCGATGGACAAGTGGGTTGTTTCCATATTTTAGCTATCAAGAATAATACTGTTATTAATAAGTCTTCTTTCTCTTTTGGTGAATGATGTTGGCTGTCAGCTGGGACCTTGGCTAGGCTGTGGATCAGATACCTCTGTTGGCCTCTCTGTGTGAACTCTCTGTATAAGCTAGTTGGGCTTCCTTACACCATGGCAGCTGGATTCTAGGAGCCAGCATTGCTGGAGAGCTACCAGAAGCTGTATGGCCCCTCTGTGATAGCCATGGAAATCATTTAGTGTCACTTTTGCCACATTTTATTGGTGGAAACAGTCCCAAGCAGGCTCAGGTGGAACAGGATGGGAATTAACCTCCTTCTCTTCATGGAGAGAGGCAAGGTTATGTTGTAAGAGGAGCATGTGGAATGAGGTATTGCTGCAGCCATTTTTGAAAACACAACCAACTACATCTTTGGAAAATCCATCCACCACATCTGTAAACTCAGGAAGATGAGAGGCGTTGCCTCACATGCACTTCACAGAGTGAGAAACTGAGGCTGCCAAAGTCATTGAACTGAAAAAGGACCCTGAAAGCCCAACATCCATTCAATTTAGAGATTCCTTCTATAGCATTTCTGGGAGCTAGGCATCCAGCCTCTGCTTGAATATCTGTAGTGATGGGGAGATCATTACCTTACAAAGGGACCATTTCAATTGTTGCATGGTTGAGACTGTCAAAAAGTTCTTAGATTGTGATAAAAACTGCTTCTCTGTAAGGCCCTTTCATTGTCTCTGATTTTGCCTCTGATGAATGAGGACCAGATAAGCTAGAAGGAAACCTCCACTCTTTAGTGCTAACCATGTGCCAGCCTGTGCCTGGGGGTTTCACAGTCATTTCATGGAGAACAAGCATGTGTCAGACCTCTCAGTGTTGATGGAGATGTCACTTTGCCATCCTGAAGTCTTTCTCCTTTTCCTCAAAGACTGAATTTCATAACTGCTCATCACCTTTGCCTGTGTTACAGTTTCTCAGAATTCCTAAAACATCATTTGGACATGATGCTCAAGCCTAACCTAGCTCATCTTTTTAATTTTATTTTTTTAAAGAAGCCATATCATGGTGGGATGTGGTGGCTCAGGCCTGTAATTCCAGCAGTTTGGGAGGCTAAGGCAGGAGCATCTCTTGAGGCCAGGAGTTCGAGACCAGCCTGGCCAACATGGTGAAACCCCATCTCTACTAAAAATAGAAAACTTAGCCAGGCATGGTGATTTATGCCTGTAGTCCCAGCTACTTGGGAGACTGAGTGGGGAGGATTGCTTGAGCCCGGGGGTTTGAGGCTGCAGTGAGCTGTGACTGCACCACCACATTCCAGCGTGGGCAACAGAGTGAGACCCTGTCTCAAAAAATCCCCACAAAACCTTATCATACAAGGCTGGCTCATCTTAAACTTGCAGTCAGTTGAAACCCTCCAGTCATTTTTCACTGTAACTGCTGCTGCCCTGGTCTCTCCCATTGGTCCAGGAATCTTGTCATCACACCAGGACTAGGATAAGGATGAACATCCAGAGGTCAATTTTTGGCCCCGGAGGACTTCTGAGAATAAAATGTGTCTCAAGATTGGGACCTGTGGTCATGTCCAAGGTAGAGGAGGGGTCAGTGGCAGCTCTGGCTTTCTGCTGGATGGCAGTGGGGGCAGGACACACAGCTTCATTCAGAGACATGAGGACCACCAGACACTTGCAGTACTCAGTACCTGTTCCTGTCTTGCTTGTGGATGGGCACAAATCATAGGGATAGGGAAGTACCATTACTGACAGGCTCAGAAGCTCAAGTGGTTTGGCCCTCACCTGGAAACAGTTAGATCCATGCAGACTATTCAGACTGACTACCTGGCATGAGGGGTGAGGTCACAGAGGGGACCATGGGGGAGGAGAGGATCAGAAAAGGCTACCACAGCCCTCCTTGTTCTCTGCCTCAGTGGGTTCTTATTCGTGTACATAAACATAAAAAGAGAGTAGGATCATATATTTATTTTAGGTGAATCCTCCTAAATTGACATGTTCCCTGAACACAAGTCTGAGGGCTCTCTTTCACTGCAAGAGACAGAAAACAAACTAAACTTAGAGTAAGCAAGAAAGAGAATGCATTGACTCACTTGTTGGGAAGGCCAAGCATGGAGTGGGCTTCAGGCTTGACTAGATCTATGGACTGGAAAAAGGCATTGGGATTTGTCATCATTTACTCCTATGATACATTGGTTTCTTCCAGATAGCAGCAGCCATGCTGCTAGAAGCTCTGGGGTCCTAGGCTTACTATACGCAATCCAAAAGGATTGAAGAGCATATCTCCTTTGGAATCAATATACAAAATCCCAGAGAAGGACTCTGATTGGTCTGACGTGCTTCACATGCCTATTCCTGGGCCAATCATTATTAGCAAGAAGATGGGATAGAATGATTGGCCAGGCTTGGGTCATATGTTTTTCCCAGTGGCCAGTGATTCCACAGGCACCTAAGGGCAAGAAACAGGATACCCAGACCGCGGGGGACAGGCAAGTCAGAAACGGAAGCTAAGCTGTCTTTTGGGGTCTCCCTGGGATCTTGTGTCTGCTTCTTTTTGCCTACCTCCTCGTTCTTCTGTTTCCCTGTGAACATTGGCTTTGGTATTTTTTCTTCCTCAGCATGTATGTACATGGCTCAAAATGGCTGCCCCAGCCCCGAGCCCTATGTGACTTTCGAGAGCTCCACACCACCTGTGACTGAGTTCAGATTTTCAAGGAAGAGAGGATTCGATGGGTTTCAGGGATAGGTGTTAAATACTGGACCCATCAGTTGTGGCAAGGGTTAGGGATTTGTAGTATAAACACAGCTTCCGAGGTGGTCTTCCCCTTCAGCTGGCCTGTAGGGGCAGTTCGTTGGAGAAGGGGGGCTGTGTGTGGGGCAGGCATTTCAGAACAAGATATCTTGCTGGTCCCAGGTGACCCAGAGAACAGCAAAGCATGGCACCATCTTGCTCTCGAGTAGTTTCAAATCTAGCTGAGCAGGTGAGAGGCTCATCTGGTCCAGGGGTCATAGGACATCAGAGGAGGGCAAGGTCATTGTGGGCCAGAACACATGGAACAAGTTTCCTGGAGGCAGTAGGAGTGCAGCTGGCCTTTCCAGGTAGGCAGGAAGGAAGGGACATGACCCTGTGCCATGTGGAGGAGACATTGCCTCAGCAGATACTCTTTTCTTCACACCTGAGCTGGCCCTGCTGAACAAATATGCAAATAGATTTGAAGTGTCCTGTCCATTAGGGAGCTTTTCCTCAGAGTATAAGCACTGGTCTTCCTGAGGCTTCTGTCTGACTTCTCATAACACCCTCTGTCCTTGAATTACCACAGAGTGCCCCTCTGTCCACTCACCATCTGTGTGTGCATGTGCGCGCACGCGCGTGTGTGTGTAGGTTATGGGGAGTTTTTCATGATGTTTTGGAAAGTCAAGGAGTTTCTTCTCTCCTTAAAGCCAAGAATGGAAAAAAAAAAGCTCCAAGAATAAAAGGAAGGAAAAATAACCCTTTGCATTTGGAGAGTGTAAAGAGATCTGTAAGCACCCTAAGGTGGAGATTTCTGTCGTCATGTTGTGGTCCACGGAAGTTCTGGACTTGCCCAAATTCTCACAGCTGGGACTAGAACCCTGGCTTTTACTGCCAGCCCAGCTTCCCTGAGCCCTCAGGGGCAGTGGGGAGTGGGCTTGGCAGGGGTGGTCTGTATGTAACAGGAGTGGGGGAATGCCCCACCTTCGCAAGGATGCAGTAGAGGCTCAATCCAAAAAACTCAGCCCAAACCAAGTCCAGAGAGGATTTGGAGGCTCTGGGAAGGAGCTAAGAGGTCACCAGCGTCTCCTTTGTTAAGGGGGTGAGAGTCCATCCCACATACCTTATCTGGGCAGATCTCATTTCCTGGTGGAGGAAAAGGAAGAGATCTTTGTGTTTCTCCTCTGTTTTTTCCCTTTCAGACAGACCAGACATCAGATCTCAGTCAGATAAATCCATCTGAAACGAAAGGGGCCGAGGCCGAGGCTGGCACAAAGAAAAGGATTCCTTGCCAAAGTCACACAGGAAGACACTCCGAAAGACCTCCCCCAAAGAAGAGGGCGGACAGGGTTCCTCTGGAGTTCCCTTTCCCTAAGGGCTTGGCGTTCAACTTTTGATCCTAGTTCCACATGAGGTTTCATATAAGTGATTGTATTATTATTATTTTTTTGCATGGGTGAAAAGCCACAAATTATTAACTCTGAATTTCAAAGACTGCATTCTTCTCACTCAGGGGTGGCATCTCTTCACTGTTCAGGCACGGGCGGCCTCACAGAACGGACGTGGCCCAGACCTCACTTGACCTCTGAGAGGCCCTGAAGGCAGTTGCCCAAGGGCAGGGGCAGGGGGCAGGGCAGAGGGGGAGGACACGGAGTGGAGCGGGGAAGGAAGAGAGAGGAGGGGCGGGGAAGGAGAGGAGGAGCGGCGGGGAGCCCGGAGAGAAATAAAGAGGGGAGACCCGGGAGAGGAAGAGGGGGAGGCCCGGGAGGGCGCGCGGAGGGGGTGTCAGCGAGGGGCCGCCTGTCAGAGTTCTATCTGCGCGATGATTGATGCGGGCCCGGGTTTTTCTGTCAGCCTGTCACGGCGCAGGAATGTTTAATGTTCTCATTATTGGTTACGCTGTTGTGTATATTTCTCTGTCAGCACCGCGGACCCAGCTGAACTGGCAGAGCACTTCAAAGGCCTACGGGTCATTCATCATCCCCATGACGCTCCGGCAAATGCTCAGCTTCAGCCCCGCGCCAGGGATTTGTTATGACTTGCGAGCCGCCTGACAGACAGGGCCGCGGCGGCCGGGAGGGGACGCGCGGGAGGCGGGCTCCGGGCCCTTCCTGTCACGCCGGGCCCGCGACTGTCACGCCGGGCCCGGGGCAGGCGGCACAGCGCGGGGTGGGCCCACGGGGGCGACCCCCGGGAGGGGTGGCGGGAGGAGGCAGGGGCGCGCCCCCTCGTGGGCTCCGGGGCGCCCCCACGCATCTCTCTGCAGTCCCGCCCTCCACCTCCCGGCCGGCGGCTGCCTCTCCCAAAGTTGTGCTGCAGACCCAGAGGTTGATGGGGGAAAAGCGAAACTTGCAACCGTCCAGGGCCAGGGAGGGGCGGGAGCTGGGAGCGAGAGCAGGAGAGTATCGGAGCTTTGTTTCCTTTCCCAGGCCGTGACATGATTAATCGTTTTCTTCTGATCTAATTTTGGAACATGAAAAACAGCACATTTGTCTTGAAGAAAAATGATGTGCCGAACTGCGCAGATGGAAATTTCGAGCAATGAGAAAGATTAAAGTGAAACCCCACTCCTTAGACCTAATCATGAGTTGTAGATTATTCTGTCGGCCCAGCCAGATGGTAGCTCTGATTCCACAGCCCCTTCTTATATTAATGAATACTCGACTGTTATATTTGACTTAGGTAAGTGAAATGTCTATCAGAGCTAATGGACTGCCAGCCAGCATAACACATGTTGTACCGCTAAGGGTCCTTCTGCATTTTTCATGTTTTATACTAATGTAGAACATTTTGTTTCCTACTGTTTTTCATCATTGTCACTGTTTGCTAAATATTTTCACATGGAAGGGGGGAGAGAGAGAGACAAAGTCAGGAGGAAAAAGAACCCCCCTCCAAACTTGTGTCCAAAGCTAATTTCCTCCCGTTGGGCTTGGCTATAACTCTACAAGTAAAACAGTCACCCCGAGCAATGCGTACAGGAACTCAATAGTAACGTGATTAAGTTCCTAGTCAACAAGACTACACTAGACTGTATGTTAACAAACCTAATTATAGCCCTGTGGTGATAAATTGGGCCAGGGCCCTGGTTGCACATCTCTGAGGTCATATCTAGAAGAGCAGTTTGACCCTCTTGTCTTAGGGAAGAGAGTTGTCCTGGAGAGGGGTCCCTGGCTCAGCGTGGTAGAGGGGCTGTTTTCTCCTTGACCTGGTTGTCCAGCTCCTGGGAGGATGGGTGGATGCTAGGAAGCATTTCAGAGTGGAAGGTCATCGGCATGAGAACTGGGCATTAGGATTTGCTGGAGGAGGCCGGAAGGGCAGTGGCTTCTGAGCCTTTGGCCCCTTTCACATTGTGAGTGGCATCAGGATGCCTGAGAGGAGAGCATGGTGTTTCTGCTTCATTGGATCCATGCAGGTCTTGGAGGGTGGTGGCTCACTCTTTCTGGGCCAGGTAGAGGGTGGCTCAGATAGTCCCCTTCCTCCAGGCTTCTCATCTGTAACTGGTGAAGCCCGGAAGAGCTTGTTGTTCAAGAGGAAATCTTGTGTTACTTCTTTATGAAGGACTCCAGCCTGGTGGAGATGAATGAGTCCTGAAGATGGAATCAAAGCTGTTTGGGCACAAGTAAGATGGGAAGGGTTGAGGGACATTTTCAAGGAGTGATGTCTTGAGAGAAAAATGGAAAGAAATCCACACGCAGAAAAGAGATATCCAGATGTGAAAACATGGGGCGGGGGAGGGAGAGAGAGAAGAGAATGTAGAGAAAGAGAGAGACATTGAGGAGAGGACGTGTCGATACCAACAGAGGAGATGGCCCGTGAACTCAGAGGAGAAACTCTCCTTGCCTCCGCCAAAGTGAGCTTCCTAAAAAGCCAATTTGATCCCTGGTGAAAATTCTCTTCTGGCTGTGATTCCTATGGGAGTCTGTTGAAATGTCTTGGCTAGGAATAGGTGAGCCTCTCCATCTATCCCCAGCTTCTCTCTCCAGCCTTATCTCTTGCTTGTCCTCAACTGTGACTCTGCCCTTCTGCCACATGAGCCTTCTTAGGGTCCCCAAGAACGCCAGCCTCTTTCAGAACAGTGTGATTCTATCTGTGTTTATTTCTGTCTATCCTACTCTCCTGTATTCTTTCCCTGGCAAACTCCTACTCATTCTTCAAGACCCAGCTCTCAAGTCTCCTCTTCTGTGACATTTTCCTGGCATTCCCAGGAGGCATTATTCATCCTCTGACCCCCACACCTGACACTGGCCAGGCTGCATTGAAAAATGTCTGTGTTTGCAAGTTTCTTGCTCTACACCTTACTTTCTCTACAGCTATTCCTCTTCTCATTCGTTTACTCATTCAAGAAATATACATAAGAACCTGACAGATACTGTTCTAGACACTGGGGATTTAGCAATATACAAAATCCCCTGCCCTTCTGGAGGTGTATTTGTGGATTTCATTAATTTCAGTAGCTGTATTTGTGGATGTATTAATGAGGCTTTTTGATAGTAAGAAACAGAAACTTGCTCAGGCTGGCTCTAGAAATGGGTATTACTGTAAAATGGTGGCAATAAGGAAGGCAGAAAATCTCATAGAGACCCAAGGGCAGCTGCATAGCTGAGCCTCTCAGCTTCTATAACTCGTTAATTGGCTCATTCATGGCCCCTCCCAGGCCCATGTCATTTAAGAAACTTTTTGTTGTGATATGAAATACATAAACAAAAGTGCATGTATCCCAAAAGTACAGCTCAATGAATTTTCACAAACTATAGCCCATAAAGAGGTGAAGAAACATAACATTCATTACCCTAGTACCTCCTATCCTCCTTTATTTCATTTTTAAGATAAATTCTCATCCCAGCTTCTCCCCAGCTATTTACTATGTGATGTTTTGATTTCTGTTTTCACTGGATTCATTTTTTAAACAGCTTTATTTAGGTAAAACCTACATATCATAAAATCATCCATTATAAATGAACAATCCAATGATTTTTAGTAAGTTTATAAAGAGCAGCAATGATCACAATCCAGTTTTAGAACATTTCCATTATCCCAAAGAATCCTCTTGAGTCAATTTTCAGTTAGTACTCAGTTCCAGCCCCAACCCCAGCCCCAGACAACCAGGTTTTACGTTTAGGTCTGTGATCCGTTTTTTAAAAATAATTTTACTGAGATATAATTCACATACCATAAAGCCTACACCTAAGAAAGGTAAAAGTATGTGTTTCTAGTATATTTACAAAGTTCTACAAATATCACCCCTATTTAATTCCAGAACATTTTAATCACCAAAAAGAAACCCTATATCTATTCATAGTCGCTCCCCACTTTTCCCTCCCTTTAGTCCTGGAAATCACTAATCTCCTTTCTGTCTGTATGGATTTGCCTATTCTAGACATTCCACATGAATAGAATCATATAATATGTGGCCTTTAATGCCTGGCTTCTTTCACTCAGTAGAATGTTTTCAGGATTCATCCATGTTGTAGTATATATGAGAACTTCATTCCTTTTTATGGCCAAATAATATTCCATTGTATGGATTCACAATATTTTGTTCATCCATTCCTATACTGATAGACATTTGGATTGTTTCTACTTTTTAGCTCTTATGATGAATAATGCTGTTACGAACATTTATGTGCAAGTTTTTGTGTGGCCATGTTTTCAGTTCTCTTGGGCATATATCTAGGAGTGGGATTGCTGGGTCATGTGCTAACTATATTTAACTTAAAAATTTTTTATATAAATTTAAAAAAGTTTTATTTTTTATTAAATATAGAGAGATAGGGTTTCACCTTGTTGCCCAGGCTGGTCTTGAACTCCTGAACTCAAGCAATCCACCTGCTTTGGCTTCCCAGAGTGCTGGGACTGCAGGCATGAGCTACCATGCTTGGTGTAAATTTAACTTTTTTTTCTTTTTTTTTTTTTTTTTTGAGACAAGGTTTCACTCCTGTTGCCCAGGCTGGAGTGCAATGGTGTGATCTCGGCTCACTGCAACCTCCATCTCCCAGGTTCAAGTGATTCTCCTGTCTCAGGCTCCCAAGTAGCTAGGATTACAGGTGTGTGCCACCATGCCCAACTAATTTTGTGTTTTTAGTAGATATGAGGTTTCACCATGTTGGTCAGGCTGGTCTTGAACTCCTGACCTCAGTTGATCCACCTGCCTCGGCCTCCCAAAGTGCTGGGATTACAGTTGTGAGTCACCATGCTCAGCCTTGTTTAACTTTTTGCATGTGATCTATTTAAAGTTAATTTCTGTGTATGGTATGAGGTAAGAATCTAAGTTTATTTTTTTGCATATGGATATCCAGTTGTCCAAATGATTTTTCAAATGTCCATAATGATTTTTCAAGTCATTAATTTGCACTGGATTTTGTCAGGTGTTTTTTTCCTGCATTTACTGAGTAAGCTATTGAAATCTCTGAGTATTACTGTCGAATTATCTATTTCTCCTTTCTTTTTCATGAGATTTTGCTTTATGTATTTAGGGATTTTGTTGTTCGGTGCATATATATTTATAATTGGTATTTTCTAATGTATTTACAATTTTATCATTATAAAACATCTTTTGTCTCTAATAACATTTCTTTCTTTCTTTTTTTTGAAACAGAGTCTTACCCTGTCACCCAGTCTGGAGTACAATGGTGCAGTCT